AGCGGAGAGAGACCTGACTGCAACAAAATCCCAGGTATCCACCTGCGGCACAGGACTATGTCCCCTCGTGTTAGCAGAGGTTCCAGTCAGACCCCAGGGTGAGCCTGGCCACCCCTCAACAGTGAATCAATTAAACACACAAATAGTAGAAACAAACAGAGAAAGATGTTTTCAATGTGGCCACACCTGAAAGAGCAGCGAGGAGCTCCAGTGACCTCTCTGTCCACGTGGGGGTTTGAATGAACGATGTCCCTGTCATTCAATGCTCAGGCGTTTGAATACTTGGTCCCCAGTTGGTGGCACTGTCTGGGGGAGGCTTAGGAGGGGTGGCCTTCCTGGAGGAAGTCTGTCACTGAGGGCAGGCTTTCAGAACGTATAGCTCCACCCACTTCCAGTTTGCTCTCTCTGCTCCACGCTCGTGACCGAAGGTGTGAGCTCCCTGCCACCACAGCCACTTTGCCGCCAGACGTTCAAGGCCACAATGGACTCTCGACCCTCCGTAACCATAAGCCCGAATAAACCCCTCCTGCTGTAAGTTAGCTGAATCATACTGTTTGTAACAGCGATGGAAAAGTGACGGACACATAGCCCCCAGGCTGTCCCCGAGGTCTTGGTATGAGGTTTGGATTTAAATAGAGAGCAAGAAGTATGCAAAATTAAAGGTCCTGGTCAAGGTCGTCCTCTCCCCTGTCATGTGTGTGTGTGTGTGTGTGTGTGTGTGTGTGTGTGTGTGTGTGTGTGTGTGTCCGTGTCCCCGTCCCCGCCCCATTGATCCATCACTGTACGGGCTTCAGTGGATCCCGCTGTAAGGTGGTGTGTGACAAGTGAAACTGTGTGCCATCTCCTTCTAGGAGGTCGGCTTCTCCTCTGCTGGACTCCAGGCTTCAGGTCTTTCCTTCTTCCAGCGTGAGATTCATAGGGAGATTCTGGTTCCTTGGGCCCATTGTCTCAATGAAAAGGAGAGACACAAATGTCTCTCTAAAGTAGCTTCATTGCTATCAGGATGGTTGTGCTAGGGGCACCCAAGAAAGAAAAAAAAAACATGGAGAAATATGGAAATCCCTGGAGATGTTTATGTTCATCACTTGGTAGTGGACCTCTGTCTTTCAACCCGGAGTATGAAGGCCTTGCAAGCATTCTGTTTGTGGCGACTGCTGGAGCCTTCCAGTGTGGGACACCTGGAGTTACAGACTTGTTTAATGCCCGGCCTCTAGAGGTGCTTTAGCGGCAGGACAGACACCAATACGTTCATGGACTATCCCACGATCCCCAGGTTCCAGGATTTTCCAAATGGCATGAATCTCTCCAAGGAAATGTACAGAGAGCTGGTTTTCACTCACCCACACTCTGAGGGAAGGAAGAGCTCTCTGAGTGTGTCACCCTTGACTGTGGCTCCTGCTCCTCCTGACCCACTAAATTATGCAAGGGCATCAGGCACCAGTCACTGGAAGCTAAAATTAACGTTTCACGGGGCTTGCCAGAGAGTTCTTATGTCTCTGGTGGAAATTTTCCGTGCTCTTGGGACAATATCCACTGATGTCCCCATCGGGAGAGGAAGAAAAGAATTGAGTTTCTTGCTTTGTTTTTTTTCCTACTGCGTGGAAAATTGACACGTGGACAACCTTCTTGTTTTTTGGTGAGAATCCCACATTCTCTCAACAAATATTTATTGGTCATCTGTGACGTGCCTGACTCGAAGCAGGGTGCTAAGGGTGAAGACACAAGATGGACAACAGCATGTGCTGGAGCCGGGAGCCTGGGCCTCTGGGGCCAGCCCCACCTCCTGGCCACATGGTTTCCAGCCAAGCCTTGATAATCACATCTTGTGTATGCACTGGAAGAATTCTGAGGGAAAGAAGTGCCCTACCCCATCAGGAAGAGCATCAGTCCTCAGGTCTCTTCCTTCCCAACTGTGTGGCAGGAGCCAGAGGCCATTTAGATGTAGTCATGAAGGGAAAAGCAGCAGCTGGAAGAGGGGTCCACAGGCAGGATCAGAGGGGAGACACACGGCTTCTGTGTCTTCTGCTCTCTGGTGTAACTTTCCTTCCCGGAAACACAGTGTGGTCAAGTTGTAATAGGACCACTAGGTGAACAGCCCATCCGAGGCTCATGGGGCCCCCTGGCAGGACAGAACAGATAGAGCACCCAACTGCTAGAAGTCGTAATGTGAAAATACCACCGAGCTGCTCCAGAAGACCCTACAGGGAAGTTCCTAGCAGCAGTGTTGGAGATCTCACAACTACCTGTAAACTCCAGCTCCAGGGATTGTGATGCCACACATATCTGTACACACACACACACACACACACACACACACACAGATTTAAGAAAAAAAAAAAGGAGCATTGTCTACGACCAGCTGTGGGATCAAGAAGGCGAAGCAGGAGAGTCAAAAGCATGAAGTCCAGGGTGCCTGGGTGACAGAAGGTCACGTGACAAAAGTTCGCCTTCCTAGAAAGTGCGCAGATTTTCTTGTGCATCTGGTTTGTTTCCAGAAACTCCATCCGAGCCTGGAGTTCAGTGTGTACCCGGATTACTGGCCAGTGATGTGAGGGTGGAATCTGCAATCACATCTTCCATTCAGTACACTAGCTAGCCTGGATGTCTCTTCATTTCTTTTCTTTTTTTCTTTGAGACAGGGTTTCTCTGTGTAGCCCTGGCTGTCCTGGAACTCACTCTGTAGACCAGGCTGGCCTTGAACTCACAGAGATCTGCCTGCCTCTGCCTTCTGAGTGCTGGGATTAAAGGCGTGAGCTGCCGCCACCACCACCTAGCTCACACTTTCATTATAGTCTAAAATTTCCTAACTTGTTTTCATGTCATGAGTACAGGGTCAGGAAGAGTTGGGGATGTGGTACTTTAAACGAGAGTGGCCCTCATAGGCACATACTTGGTCCTCAGTTGGTGGAACTATCGAGACCATTAGGAGCTGCGGCCTTGTTGGAGGAGATAGGGCACTGGGGTCAGGCTTTGAGACGTCAAAAGACCACTCCACTCTCAGCTCGCTCTCTCTCTCTCTCTCTCTCTCTCTCTCTCTCTCTCTCTGTTGTGGTTGTTGTCTCAAGATGTGAGCTCTCAGCTACTGCTTCAGGTCCATGCCCGCCTACTCTAATTAGCCGTGGTCTATTGGCTTCACGGTGATAGAACAGCAATTAAGACAGCGGATATATACACAAAGATACACAATGCATGCATGTTCACACATGTACACATACACGCATATACATATGCATGCACATATGTACACGTTAGCAATCTCAACCACATGTATCTACACATATGTTATGTGACACCATTCCTTGGGAGACATGAACCGATGTCTACTCACCACAGATGAGTTAGAGGGAAATGATGACAGACCACAGGAAGGGCACCACCAAGTGAGTTTTATTGGGGTTATTTATAGGAGTGAGGGTGAGGGGTCACTTACAGGTGCAGACATGACTCAAAGACAGATGCTTCACCAAAGCCCCAGCAAGGGTGGTGGGTCCTGAAAGCTGGAACCGTGGAGATCACCACACAGCCTGCCCCCAGCTGGACAAGTTGAAGAATCTCTCCCAGGCGGCTCCATCCATTTGAGTATCTCTCATCAACCCTTACTGTTCACATAGGCTTGGGGAGGGCGGGGCCTATGAATCTGGTCAGTTTCAGGGACTTCCTAAAGCTTTTGAGTTGTGTATTCCTGACTTTTAAGGAGCTTCCATCCACAAAACTTGTATCTCAAAGGACATGGTTATACAACAAGCAAGTACACATGTGTACAGGTGCACACACGTGTACAGGTGCACACACGTGTACAGGTGCACACACATTTGCATTCATCAACACAGAGTGTTTACCAATGGTCCTACCAGAAGAAACCAAAAAGGCAGCAGTAGTGTGACTTCCGTCTCAGTGCTTGAATAAGCACATCCAATTGGTTACACCCGATCCATTCAGGAATGCTGGCTATGGGGGAGTCTGGGAAACATAGATGGATATGGGAAGGCATTTATCATGCCATGTTGTTGGAGACTCTTAAAATCTTTTATTAGCTATGTATCTTTTCACTGGACAAATATCAACAGTTACCCACCATCACCCATTTAGGATAGTTTGTTTTTGGAGTTTAACTGTATAAAGATCCTAATGTTAGTGTTGTATTAATAATACTGTAAAATGATGCCAATGATAACAACTACAGTTTACTAAATGCTTCCCTTCTCGTGGGCAGTGGGCGAGGTCCTTTGTCATTCATTATATCAATCAATCTTTTTTTTTTTCCTTTTGAAACAGGCCTATATAGTCCAGACTGATCTCCAACTCATGATGCTCCTACCTCAGCCTCCTGGGTACTGGGATCACAGGTGTGTGCCATCACACCTTGCTTTATAAATCATTTTAAAATAAAAACTTGAGCTGGGCATGGTGGCACACACCTTTAATCCCAGCACTCGGAGGCAGAGGCAGGAGGATCTCTGTGAGTTTGGGGCCAGCCTGGTCTACAGAGTGAGTTCCAGGATAGCCAGAGCTGTTACACAGAGAAACCCTGTTTTGTTTGTTTTACATTATACATGCTCTCCACAGGTCACACAAGCAGAATCAGTGATTCAAATGCTGTGAGCCTTGTCCAGGTCCTCTGTATACAATATGTACACTCAGGCCAGATTCTAAGTCAAAGTCCAGGCCAAGACTAAGAATGTTCTCAGTGGCAGGAACTCAGTTTGTCATGTAAATGCCTGGCAAACTGCTGAACGGTTCCCGCCTGAGTCATAGCGTGAGCAAGCGGCCACGCAGAGGATTTCCCAATCTGAAGGGCTGCATTCCTTCAGGCTTCTAAGCAAGTGTCACTCTGGACTGCTCTTGAAAATGAGGAACGTGCCTGAAACATGCAGTCCTCTCTCTGCTTAAGCCGCCTTCACACGCTAGGTGAGTCACAGCAGGAGACTAAGGCCATCTGGCAGGCCCCAAGTCATGCAGCCTAGGCACAGGGCATTGATTGGATATTTTTAATTTTTTTATTTTTAATTATATATGGGGGGGGCAGTGCACATGAGTGCAGTGCTTGAGGAGTTCAAAAGGGGGCGCCAGAGCCCCTGAAGCTGGAGTTGGAGGCTGAGTGCTGGAACCAAACTCAGGACCTCTGCAAGTAGACCTTAACTGACCAGCTGTCTCCCAGCTCCCGGGTGGTTTGACTTTTGTTTTGTTTTTGTGTTGGTAATGAAAACATTTTTTTCCCAGCAAAGGCAACTGCTTCGTTGTGGATTATTAATGGGTTAATTGCTCTATCATAAGCTAGTTCTCCACATAAACATTAGCCACTGACAGAGCGTTACTCTCCACCAGTGCCTAAGGCGATGAGACCCTAACCCTAAGTGTACTCACTGCTGCAGTCACTTGCAGGCTTCAAGGCTTGCCCCTGCACCCAGTGGTAATGGGGCAGGGAGGCAGAGGCAGGAGGGTCTCTGAGTTCAAGGCCAGCCTGGTCTACAGAATGAATTCCAGGACGGAGAAACCCGGTCTTGAAAAACAAAACAAAATATAACAAAACTTGGCCTACTCCTGGCAGGAAGAAGTAGAATCCTAAGCCGGGATTGCTGACATCCTGTGCAGCCGTAGATCATATATTGATTGCTTCTGCCTGCAGAGCCAATGGAGCTGCAGCAGGGTTGGCTTCCGGAGTGTCACTATTGACAGGCACCGAAGTTGCATATTGCTACCTGAAACATCATGTGCCTGTGTTTCAGTGAGTCCCTTCCAACTTCCTGTGTGGCCGTTTCCGGTCTTCCTGATTTAAAAAAAAAAAAAAAAAAAAAAATCAATCCTGCTCAATGATGGTGCATGCCTTTTAATCCCAGGCAGAGGCAGGCAAGATCTCTGAGTTCAAAGCTAGCCTGGTCTACAGAGCAAGTTCCAGGACAGCCAGGGCTGTGCAGAGATACTACTGTTATTAAAGACACTCCTTTTTGAAATCATACCTACCTCTTGGAACTTTTGAAGAATGAAATTTAAAAAAACTTGTCTTGATGAACGAATTCTTGAGCAGAAGAGATGACTGATGGGTAGAGGAACTTGCTACCAATCCAAACCTGGTCTGGTCTCCAGCATAAAACCTGTAAGTATAAGAGGAAACAGAAGGGCCCAGCATTCATGAGAGTTGGGGGCCATCTTGGGCTATGTGAGACTGTCTCAAAAAATAACAGAAATGAGAAGCTTCCAAGGCCGTCCTGGACTACATATCAAGGCTGTCTCAAAAAAACAAAACAAAATAAAACCTAGAGAAAATCTCTTGGTTCCTGTCACTCGGGCTATCCTATATGAGATCTATCTATATCCGCTCCTCCTACCACGGGAGAGGAAGATCGGGAGGCAGCATCCCCCAACCAGACTGCGGTTTTATGTATTCCACATGGCTCCAAAACATGCTTGAACACAGCATGCTATAATTTTTCTGGTGATTTCTATGAATCGTTTTTTTAATTATGAATGTTTTCAGAGACACTCCTGGGAAATTTTACCCCACGTTCCCCTGACAGCCCTCACACAAAGCATCTCAAGCGAAGCGGCTTCCATGACCCACACAGAAAACCAACTTCAGAGCAGGGACTCCTAAAAGATCCATCAGTCATCTCCACCCTGTCACCACTGCCTCTGAATTTCCACATGCAAAGGGACCCCGAGAAGTGGGGGCCATAAACAGAACTAGGAAAATGGACTCACTCACGGCCAACTGGTGGTTCTAAAGGATTTTTCTACAGATATAAATTTCCTAACTTAATTTGGACGCTTTGTTCTTTCCTTGTGGCTCAGAACTGTCCTTGTGTTTAAATGGTTCGTTCCCTTTCTGTCACCCCTGCATTTTTTGAGTTTTCAAGCAATCCGCTATAGCCACAGGCCAGCTTCCTGTCCCTTTGCTCAATCCAAGCTGCTCAGAAATTAGAACGTTTAGGCCAGACCGGGATCTCCACTTAGAGTCTTACCTCAGAAACCCAGACTGGTGGATCTCCAACATCAAGGACGGCTCAACCCCAGAGCCTAGGTTTAGCCTGTAGGAGGCCCTGGGTTCTCTCTCCAGCTATGCAGAAAGCGAGGGAAGGCGCTTCTGTGGTGTCTTTAAAGACCTGAGGGTGGGGTTAGTCCTGGAATTCCAGAGCTTTCTGCAGGTGTATCTCTCCTGGAATCTACTGCCCCTCATTTGTCAGAATTGGCTTCTAAAAAATAAATAAGTACGTATGTACATACATACATACATACATACATACATACATACATAAGTAAACAGAAATATAAATAAGACAGTAAGCTGTTACTGGGACACCAGGGTGCGGCTTAAACGGGGTGGGTGGGGGGATCCTTCCGGGCAGTTAGTTACCTTTAGCAGACATAAATAAGCACTGTGTAAATTATCTCTGTGTGGGTAACAATGGCAACCCCCCAAAAATCCAGGAATAAAGGCAGGTCCGCAGCACGTGACCTTTCCAGCCTGCACGGTTCGGCTTAAATTATTTTAAAGCTATTTGAGACTGTTCCTTGGTCCAGACGCAGTACAGAGCTATCTGCTCTCTGAACGCGGCTCCCGACACCTGCACGCCTGCGCCCGCCCCCAGCACATCTGCAGGGATTTACTGAGAAATTGGGGGTTCTCAATAACCACTTCTAGAACTCTATCCCGGTTCCCCTGCGCCCAGCGCTGGGCCTGGCAGATGGAAAGTCTCCAAAAACAAACAAGTCTGAAGGTTTAATTGGCGTCCGCTCGCTCGATTCCGTTCCACTGTGCGGGTTTGTATCTGACCTCTTGTCCCTAAAAGGACAGTGACCCGCAGCCTAGGTAACCACCCAGAACCCCGCCTGGTTCCAACTCGTTTGGGAGAGAAACAGAGAACACTGTGGTCCGTAAACGATGCCCACATCCGCGCGTGCCAGGAGCGCCATCCAGGCAGTGAACACAATTAGTTTGCTTCTGTCCTGGGGGTGGGAAACGAAGGCGTCGGAGTTGGGGACCAAAAATATCCATAAACCGGAAGTCATTTGTGGGCTAACCGACGCTTTCGCCAGGAACAATATTCTTGAATTGAGGACGTGTCAATTAAAAAAAAAAAAAAAAGATTCGTTTTAACCGAAAACCTGCTCCCGCTCCGCGCCGACGGTTCCAGGGTGCTCTTCTGGCATCTAGCGAGATCTCTCTCTGTCTCTTGTCTCTCCCTCCCTCTGTATCTCTACCCCGCCCCTCCAGTTCAAAATTGGAGGCGACGATTTGGACGTACAAAGCGCGTTGGATTTTGTTCCTTAATCCGGAGCCGCTCCAGAGTCTAACCCCAAAAGACTGATCCTTCAGCCCGGCAAGAACTCTAGGGCAGGGAACATGAGCTGGGGACCGGTGCAGGGGCCTCACAGACGCTTAAAATAAAAAAAACAAACCAAAACAAAATAAAACAAAACTGGTTTCCGAGTGCCACCAGACAGGCTCCCACCCACGGAACCGGTCTCACCCTCTGCGCCCACTCTACCCGAGGCTCAGCTGTCCCAGGCCACTGCTTCCCACATAGAAAGAATTTGGGGCGGGGGTCCGTCAAAGCGGGCCTAAGTGACCCGAATTTGGAGGGAAGATGCGCCCAGGCAGCTCACATCCGGGCCTCTGCCCCCCGCAGGAGAGAGACCCACGCCCATGCAACCTCCAGGTGCAGGAGAGCCGTGGGCTTGCGAGCCGGGCTTGCATTTGTTAACGCGAAGGTTTTGCGGCTGAAAAAGGCCAGACACACCCAAGGACTTAGAGAAAAATCTCATCACCAACTTGCTCCCGCCGGGAAGGTGGGAGTCCCGAAGCTGAGAGCTTCCACGGAACTGGGAACCCTCCCGCGGTGCTCGCCTCCCACACCTCCACCCTCACCCCCAACCCTCCCAGCCAACCCTGCGGCACCCTAGTGTGACCCACAGCTCAGAAGCCCGCACACGTCTACTCCAGCTCTGGTTAGTTAGTCCCGGGGTGCGGAACTTCTGGCCACCTCAGGTCCTGAGCATCAACCCCTCCTCGAACGAAGGTTGAGAGTGCTCTAGACATACACCCCTTAGGAATCCCACCTTTCACGTTAGCGTTTAAAAGAAAGAGAAAAACAAAATGAGAATCTGAGCGAGTCAGGGAGAAGCCCGGCGGGGTTCAGATCCGCTACGGCCACCCAAACCAGGCTGTAGCCTTGCCTATCCGCCTTCCTGTAACCTTCTCTCTTTAAACTTTGAATGAATCCAGATTTGTTTAGAATAGGGAAGAAATTCCTCACTGGCAACTTGCAAGTAGATAAAGAATGTTAATTAAACGAAACGACTTCGACTTCCTAGTCTATAAAATACTGCGTCGTAGTCAGACCTACCTTAAGCCTTGGTGGCTACTATCACTTACTAGGGGCGGGGGAGCATCATATCCAGGCTTTCTTTGATGTCCAGAAATATTTATCTCAGGTGGGTAGATTTTGTTCGGGCTCTTAAAGGGGATTTTTTAGGTTGAGTTTTTTTTTTTTTTTTTTTTGAAGGGCTGTTTCAGCGATGTCATAAATGAACTAATCGGTTTTCAGATTTCAAGGCGGTGTGTAATTGATGTAACCACTGAGGAATTTCAGTACACAGCCTACTAAGCCTCCTCCTGCTTACGGGTTTTCAAACGTGATCCAGGCCTCCCTGAAAGCCGTTTGTAGAGGAAAGTGGGCCTTGCCTGGTAGCAGGTGGGCTTTTGAGGTGGCTGTTTCTGTTAAGCCACTCCAAGAGGCCTTTAGGAGAACCCCAGCGAGTGGTGGCAGGTCAGGGGGCATCCACTCTTGGACCAGGACTCCTTTCCTCTGCCTGGAAGAGCCTAGCTTGAAGCCTGGCAGCTAAGTGCTTGCTGCCTAGGCCCTGGGGAGGTCACTGCAGGTCAGTGTCCCTGGAAAGGGGGGGGAGGGGTTGGAAGTCCTCAGCTGCTGGTATCCTCTCAGAGACCAGGAAGGACACAAGGTCTGGCTAAGAAGACAAAGAGGGGCCGGGCGGCGGCAGCAGCAGCACACGCCTTTAATCCCAGCACTTGGGAGGCAGAGGCAGGCGGATCTCTGTAAGTTCGAGGCCAGCCTGGGCTACCGAGTGAGTTCCAGGAAAGGCGCAAAACTACTAGAGAAACCCTGTCTCGAAAAGACAAAGAGGGAACCTGTGGGGAAAAGCGCTTCTCTTCAAAGGATCCAGTTATGTTTAGGAAAGTCAGCTTCATCCAGCCCCGAGATCCTCCCTTGGGAACTCTGATGATTCCTACCATAAACTCCTGGTGATAGCATCCGCTCCCCTAAAAGCATCTTCTTGAGAGAAGGGCAGAGGAGGGCAGCACCTTCTCCAGCCTTTGGGAGTAACTGGAACCCTCTGGAGTCACCATCCTGGAATCTGGAATCCTCCTGGATGACCAAATCCAAGGAGAATTGCTATTCTCAGAATCCTGACCTCCCCATCCCCATGCAGGTGCCCGGGTTTAGGGATACCTCTTTCCTCGGGGCCAGGAGAGGCTCCCGGGAACAAGAGCCGGTGTCTGACTGCCGGTGTGGCTGCTTCTCAGGCTCTAACCTCAGACTCTGCAAACCTGACCCCTGGCCGCCACGTGAGAAGACGTACCTGTGCCATTACTGGGACCTAGTGAGAGAATTGGCTCACAAAGCTAAGGCAAACACTTTCTCTGAAGAAGTCACTCTCAGTGAGGGAGGGAGGGGCTGGGGGGGGAAGGGGGAGGTTTTATACTAGTTGGGAAGGAACAGAGTGTTACTGTCTTGACCTCTGCCAGAATAAATTACTCTGAAATTGCTCTGGCTACCTGTAATTATTTTTTAAACAATGTGTTTGTTGATACTGTAATTGTCTGGGAATAACAGTGACCCCCCAAGGGGAGTCAGTGTAACTTATACATGGACAGGCGTGAGGACAGGGAGCTGAAGTGTTCTTTTTGGGTAGCTCCTACCAGAAAAGACTTCCAGTTGTGAGACAGTCACATCTGTGAGGCTGGATGGGAATGAGGTTTGCTGAGTAAGCACATCCCACTGATTGCCTGTGTAGACAACGGCTTAGAAATCAAAGTTTCCTATCTCTGAGGCTTCAAGATTTTCTGTTTCCTCTGTTTGCTCGGGAGGTTGAAGTTCTTAAATTTCACTTAGAGGCTGGAGACAAAGCCAGGGAGAGGCGGGTTCTCCTGCCCCCCACACCTGGGTGGTGGCCAGCTCTCCAATCTCTGATCTCCTTGTATGCCCCAGCTTTCCCAGAGCCCATCTTGAGGGCCTTGATCTCACCCAAAAGTTGACTTTTGCTGGGGATGGGCCTCAGGTAGGCACCGGGGTGTGCAGCGTGGCAAGAACAGTTGCAAGCATCTGAAGCGGAAAATCCAAACAGATGTGGGGCAGCCTGGCCCACCCCTTTCTTCTTGGGGCCCAAATTTCATCCAGATTAGTTTCCTGATGGAAAATTTCTAAGAGGTGGGGCTGGTGGGCTGTGCTTCTGATCTGGCAGATTGAGGGTGTGGGTGCCCTGCCAGCAGGCAGGCAGTGGGATCTGCAGACACTTCTTCTTCACACCTGCCCGCCCTGTGCAGGCTCCTTCCAGCCAGTGGGTGAAGAGTGCTACCTGGGATTCCAGGGTCTCGGCATTTCCAAGGCTGATGCCGGTACTGTTGACTAGCTTCAGCCCCAATCTGTGGAGCTCATTCTTTTACCATCGTTCTACACTTTCCCCCCCCATCAATACGTCCCTGGTGGGGCAGAGCTAACTTCAGCTCATCTAACTTTGTTGCTGTGTGTGCCTCACACACCCCAGTGTACAGTAGGAAGAGGCTTGTAATCTGATCTTCGGCCCACTCTAGGGGGTCGGTAGGAGACCAGTAGTGGCGCTCAGTACTAAACTACGCTCAGCTCCAAATAAAACTTGTCTGGGGCCTGATGAGGCGGCTCAGTAGGTCAAGTGCTTATGACACAACATGACGACCTACGTTTGGATCCTCCAAATCCATGAGAAAAGCGAGGAGGGGACAAGAGCGCTATACTGTCAGCACAGTGCGGCCGAGACACGAGCTCTCTAGCCCGCGGCCTCGCTGAAATAAGGGGTTCCAGGTTCCCTGCAGAAACCGGTTCAAAAAACAAAGCAGCAAGTGATTCAGGAAGACATCCCGAATCGACCTCTGGCTTCCTCATGCCGAGAGAGAGAGAGAGAGAGAGAGAGAGAGAGAGAGAGAGAGAGAGAGAGAGAGAGAGAGAGTCTTTTCAACCTTAAACAGAGTTTCTAACTTAATACCGTCTCTCTCTCACCCACGTTCTGGACGTGTAAGGGTCCTGTTGAGAATCCAGGCTCTAACTCTCTAGCCGGGGCCCCAACTACAGACAGGCTGGAGCTCTTCATTATTCCGCATGGACCGTACACTCCTTCCCAGATGAAAACCCTCTAGCACTGAGATCCCCGCCCAAAGACTTGTACTTTTGATAGTTGGCTCTGGGGACCCTAGTTCCATAGCCCTGTGTGTGATGTTTGGGTGTCTGTTGAGTCAGGCTCTGGGCCTAGAGCTACCCCATGGCCTCCTCAACCGCGTTTACCACCTCTCAAAACCCGAGACCCGAAACTGTCTTGCAGATGCTGGAGGCGGCTGCCACTGTGAAAATCCAGTCGCAAGAATTCAAAAGCGCCTTTCCTGTTAAAAACTGGGAAATTCGTTTGAGAAGTTTCAGTTCTTGTTTCTTGCCGGGTTTCTCCCACCTCCACTTAACCATGTTTCTATGATCTGGGTAATCCCTTTCAAGCGGGGAAGGAATTCTCCGGAGTCCTTAATTGAGGGTCGGGAATCCTGGGGGTGGGGGAAGCGTTAAACCTTTCCGGTACCGGCAGAGGTGCAGGAGCGCGCTCCAGGGAGACCTGCGTAGCGGCGGCAGGGTGGGTCCGCAGCCCTGCTCGCCCAAAGCGCCTTCCCGGCGAAGCCCGGGGCAGCCAAAGGCACAGCGCCGCACCGGGACTCCCGAGGACGGATGCAGGTTTGGACACTGGGTGCCTGCGCCGCTGGCAAACTGCCCCAACCCTACGCTTGCACCTTAATGCAGGACCCAGAAAATCTCGTCCAACCCCGAACCCGCAAACGCAAAGCGCGAGGTCCTCTTCGCTCCCGCCTGGCGCGACTTCGCGCCACCCCGCCGCGCTGTCTTTTTAGCAGGGCTCCAAAGGCCCGGGTGTGTGCACCGCGCGAAGCCCACAGCAGTCTACTGTGGGCTAGTTTGCGCCTAGAAAGCCTCCGGGTTCTCCAAGGAGGTCCCAGGAAAAGGCCCGAAGCATCTGCTGCAGGCACAGCAGATCGGAGCCCAGCTCTCCCGGTGCGGAGGAGGGAAATCTGCAGGTACCAGGAGCCGGTCGACTTGCAAGCTCCTCTCAGACTGGAGTGAAGGCTAGAGGGAGAGGAACCGGGCAATGACAACAGGAATCGAAAATCCCCGTGTCGGGCACCCGGTTCCCAAGGTCAGAGTCCCTGCAGCCCAAAACTCTACGGCCGCCAGGAGAGCCATGGTGACCACGGCTGCAAAAGGAGACCTGTCTGCGTCTGTGTGGGATCCAGGACGCCTGGGAAGCTCGCATCTGACCCGCGTCGGAAGGCTCAGGCTCCAAAGGGGAGTGCGGATTCACGCGACCGGACCGCCACCGCCGGCGTGCGCCGCAGCGACGGGACAGTAGCGCCGGCACCTATCGGGGTCTCACTAGCCCGGGAGACGCCACGGGATTGTTTGACGTAGTGTGGCCCGGTGGGAGAAAGAATGCTTCACTCTCGGCGACCAAGTCTCCCTTCTCCAATGGCCTTCTCCTCCATCCCCGTGGGTCGCATCCGCATCCCCCGGGGACCCTGGCTCTGCTAGGGTCGCCCTGAAGCCCTGGCCTAAAGTCGATTACCCATATTCCCGCCGCCCTCTGGGTCACCAGAGTCAGAGCGGTTGGGCCCTGTTTGCGCCAGCGCCCTGGAGGAGGCTTGGCCCTTGGGCCCAGCTCCCCCACCCCACCCCGTGCCCTCGGGCCCTCCCTGTGCACCCACGGCTTCTCGCTGCCCTCGGGAAAGCGCCAGTCTCCCTTTGCCCCAGTGTTTCTAGATGAGAAAGGTCACTTCGGTGCACGTGTGCCAGTGGATGAGGGGAAGGGGGTCATTTTTCCCCCTTGGAGACCCCCTTTAGGTTTGCGGGCCTGTGACCCAAGGAAGGTTTGAGTGTGGGACCAGCTGCAGTATGGGTCCTCCCTGAGGGGCCCTTGGCCAGCTGTTCGCGCCGCCTCTTCTGGGCCGCGCCCGGGGGTGACCTGCCCGGAGCCACCGTGGAAGCCACCGCACCCCTCCCATCTTCCTCCTCCGCCGCACCCCCGCCGCCCATCCTCTAGCCCGGGTCCTGCCACTCATCCTCCGGAGCGAGCAGGCGCGGCGAGCCCTGTGCGCTCACCCCGACTTACCCCCAGCACGGGAGCGCGCGGCTCTCTGGCGGGACAGTCCCTGGAGGCGGCGACGCGGAGGCGCGCG